GGAACTAAACAGACACTTCTTGAAAGGAGAAATATGAGCAATCAACAACTATATAAAAATATTTTCAACATCTCTATCAATTAGAGGAATGCAAATTAAAACTACACCGAGATTTTACCTCACTCCAGTCAGAATGGTAATTATTGAGAATACAAGTAACAATAAAAGTTGGTGAGGATATGGAGAAAAGGGTACACTCATACATTGCTGGTGAGACTGCAAATTGGTACAACAACTCTGGAAAGCAGTATGGAGATAACTCAAAGACCTAGAAATGGAACCATCATTTGACCCAGTTATCCCACTCCTCAGTATATATCCAAAGAAGTTAAAATCAGCATACTATAGTGATGTAGCCACATCAATATTTATAGCAGCACAATTCACAATAATAGATAAGCTATGGGACCAATCTAGGTGTGCAACAACAAGTGAATAGATAGAGAAAATGTTGTTTATATACATAATGGAATATTAATCTGCCATAAAAAAGAATGACTTTATGACAATTGCTGGTAAATGGATGGATCTGGAGACTATCATGCTAAGTGAAATAAGACAATCCCCCAAAACAACGGTTAAGAGTTCTTTTTGATACATGGATGCTAACATACGATAAGGGAAGGGGGTTGAAGAAGAATAGAAATTCAGTAGATATGACAAAGGGTAATGAAGGAAAGGGAGAGGAAATAGAAATAGGAAAGACACTGGAATGATTCTGATATAACTTTCTTATGTACATATATGAATAAACCACAATGAATCTCAACATCGTGTTTATCCATAAGACAGTGATCCTAATCAGAATAAGATATACACCATGTTTGTATAAATATGTCAAAACAGATTATACTGCCATGTATAACTAAAAAGAACGAATAATTTAAAAAAAAATCAGAGGGCAATAATTGTTTGAATAGTCCTGAAATATTAGAGGCTGCGATGAGGGAGAAATTTGAAATGACCACATTTGGTACCAGGTGTTTGAGTAAAGGATGTTATTTGTCTTGATATGTAATTGGTGTTAGCTACACAATAAAGAGGTTTAAACTTAAAAAAAAAATAGAGGACAAAGTTTATGTGGAGCTCACATTTCAGAAGTCTCAGTCCATAGATAGTCACCTTCTTTGCTTTGGTTCGGAAGTGAGGCAGAACATCAAAGTGAAAGGGAGGGGCAGAGAGAAGCAGCTCAAGATAAGGCAACTAGGAAGCAGAGAGAGCTCTGCTCATCATGAATAAATCTAATCCAAAGACATTCTCCCAATGACCCACCTCCTTCAATCACATGTGCCTGTTTATAGTTACCACTCAGTTAAGCCATTTAAATGGATTAATTCACTGATTAAGTTAAGGCTTCCATAACCTAATCATTTCATTTCTAAACTTCCTTGCGTTGTCTTACACATGAGTTTTAGGAGACACTTCATCCAAACCATAACAGTCTCACTTTAACTTTTGTCTTAATTTTCCATTCTTATAATATCCATTGCCCCCATATATTATATATTGTGCATTGACAATCTAAAATAATAAATAATGAAAATAAAATAAGCCTCGATACTTACAAATTGGGCTTGACAAGATGAAACCCCGTGAATCCTCAGTTAGAATAATTAATTTGACTCAATGTAAACTAAAAAAGGGACTTCAAGGAATAAAATATTAAAAAAAAGCCTAACTAATGAAGGAGTGATCATGTGCATTGCTTCTCCATTGGACAGACAAATTTTACCTGTTCCTTTTAATGTTTTTATTGGTGCATTATAACTATAGGTTATAGCAGGGTTCATTTTGACATAATCATACATGCATGGAACATAATTTGCTTAATTTCCATCCACATTACTTCATCTCCTTTGTCCCACATTATCTTTCCTATGTTCTATTGCCTGTTCTTAATTCTGGAAAATATTAATGAGTGCCTTATGATTGATTACTATAACCATAATTTTGGTCCTTGTATCTATACATGAAGGCTCCCTTACCCCAAACCTAATGTTATTAACACTATAAATTTTATTCAGTCACTAATCAGCAAATATTTTACTTTTAGATATGACTAACATGTTCTTTTCAGTTATTTTTTTAAAAAAATATTTTTTAGTTGTAAATGGATTTTTAAATTTTATTTATTTTATATGCGGTGCTGAGGGTTGAACCCAGGGCCTCACACATGCCAGGCAAGTGCTCTACCACTGAGCCACAACTTCAGCCCTCTTTTCAGTTCTTAATACTTTGTTTTATTAGTTATTGATTAGTATACCTATGTAAATAATTTGTAAATTTATTAAGCATGTATATTAAAATATAAATGTATGCATTGTTTAATAAACTTTAATTTTCTCTCCCTGCTTAGAAGTTAGAATCAATAAATAATATATCATGCTTGTTACACCTCAAGTACCTGCTAGGGATATATTAGGCAGTTGCCTCAACCACAAGATAATCTTTCTCCTTCTTTAATTTTAAAGAATCCCTTAAGGCTGCTCACCTGACACGGGACACACTTGAGCTTAAACTTACAAAGAAAGTTGTTATGGTCTGCATCTTAAGTGTCCCCCATGGCTCGGTATTGAAGGATTGGTCCTGAGCCAATGGTGCTCTTGAGAGCTGGTGGAACATTTAAGAGGTAGGACCTGATAGAAGGAGGTGGGGTCATTGGGGATGTGCCCTTGCAGGGGATATTGGGACTCTGACCCTGTTTTCCTTTTCTCTCTTTACTTCCTGGTCACCATGAGGTAAGCAACTTGGCTTCACCTTGTGCTCCCTACTATGATGTTCTTCTTTGCCACAGGCTCAAAAGTGATGGAATCAGCTGACTGTGGACTAAAACTTCTAAAACCATGAGACAAAATAAAGCTTTTCTTTCTTATAAGTCATCTCAGGTATTTGTCTCAGTGACAGAAAGCTGACTTAACACACAATTGCTAGTTGCAAGGCTCCTAGGGACTAAATTTCTAGCATGGAGTTCAACTATTGCATGCAGTTCTGCATTAATAAGAAAAGATTGTTAAATCATCTTGACCTAAATCTTAAATTCTTCCTATAAAAAATTGGCCTTGATGCCTCTCTAGCACTTTAAATTGTTGCATAAACTTAAAACTTTGATATTCTTTGACCCAAGAGTAATTCCATTTCTGTAAATTTACCCAGTGAAACCAAGTAGTCATGCATGTGGATCAGTTCTGGGCTCCACATGGTTTTTTCTGTCTGCACAGTCAGTGTAGATGGGCTGGTCCCATGGTTTCCAATAACACCCATACATGCTGAGGAACAGCAGGTCTGCATCTCCAGCTTTGATGTATGGCAACTCTAGATCTCTAACAGGGACCTGAAACTAAATTTGGGTCAAAAGAGTATTCTTGATTTCCCTCTGAAAACTTGCTCCTGGCTATTCTTCAAACCCTGATAATAGAGCCCGTAGAAGAGGAGAGCAAGGGTTGGTTAACCTCAGGTCTATGAGGGGAAAATCCCCTAGAAACACCAGATATGAAAAGGTGATTCTTGATACTTTAACCCCAGCTGCACATTAATGTGTTTCCTAAGAGAGAGTCAGAACCATTAATTAAAATACCTGCTTCTGCTGGGGGCAACCAGAACAGAATCCTCAAAGGAACTGGGTGTGCTTCTAATACTTGGCATGTTAGAAGCTGTTTGCAAGTCTGGGAATTATCAGGAGAGGCCCAGTAGTCTGGCTGGGTGTCATTGAGTCTTGAGGCACTAAGAAAGTTCTTGAGTGGGTAGTCGTTTGAAACTCAGAACTTACAACTTACCTCATCTTGATATTGATTGGACAATGGAGATGCTGATTCCAACAAATCAGTGTTTGCCTGCAGCACGTACCTGTCATCCTAGTGACTCTGGAGATTAAGGCAGGAGGATCACAAGTTTGACACCAGCCTCAGCAACTCAGCAAGACTGGCCCAAAATTAAAATAAAAAAAAAAAAGTGTGTGTGGGGTGCTGAGGATTTAGCTCAGTGGTAAAGTGCCCCTGAGTTCAATTCCCAGTATCAAAACAAACAAACAAACAAACAGAAACAAATCATTGTTTAAGAACATATATATCGATATATGATAAATAATGAGATTGTAGAAGGATCTAAATGCTCATGTTCCCCACACCCAGCAAGATATTTTGCAGGTAGTATTCTAGGCATCCCAAATTTGATTTTATCGTCCCTGAAAATTTCAGATTCAGGAAAAGGGTTAAGTATATAATAGTGAGAGCTAATGCTACGAACCTAAGATAATGTGATGCATTCATCTTCACTGTCATCAATAGTCGCTGCAGGAATTAGACTTGACTTTGCCTGGAGTGATCCAAACAGTGCCTCAGAGACTCACTGTTTTCTTTTACAGTTGAAATATGTCTTCTCCCAATTGACAAGTATCCTTTGTAGTAAATATGTTACCTTAAATCTAATAATTGTTAAGTCATATCACCCAGATACTGTTATTTTCCCATGATTTCTCTTGTCTCAATCTTGATCCTCTGAGTTGGGATCACAATTTGTTTCTCTGAAAGCGATTTTGCTTACAAGTTTTTGGGGAACATGGAGGTGTCGTTAGAAACATGTAGATGGATTCCTTCGTCCCTGAAAGGCCTCAGGGTGCAAGCTAGCTACTGATCTCTGTGAGGCTCTGTGGGATAATGATACATATTGCCATTCCATTCATACAGAAACAAGGACTTGAGACCTTGGCTGGGCCATTATCAGTTGATAGTAACTTAGTGACTAGAATTAGTACTTCCTAAGCTAATGCTTAGATGAGTGACTTTCCTATTCAGCCATATTCGCCAAATGCCACTGGTAGAATATTCAACAGTGAAACAGGATGGTGTGAAACATACTTCTAGAAAGGACACTTAATTATTTTTCTATTGCTGTTAAAATCAAATCATAAAGAGAGCCTAACCTTAAGCAGGTTGTAGAGACCTCTGCCCTTCCCCCATTCATGCCTGCCTTTCAACTGTGACCTCATCACTGACACCATATCCCCAAAGGCTGGTCCAGGAGTGGAGTAACCGCCCCCTCTAAGGGAGCCAGGTGGCTGCAGGGCTACACTGGGGAGGTGGCCTCTGCAGGACGTGGGTGAAAGGACATCACTGGACATCTACTGATCCCAGCACCCACGTGTACTCAGTGCCACATCTAGGCTTCTACAGGTCTGTGCCCCACAGTATCCTTAGGTGGCCTAGCACTCTGTCTCAAGGAAATATGGCACGGGCTAGGAAAGAAGCAGGGGACAGCCAGCTGGTGTCTGGTAGGGAGCCGTCATCACGTATCATCCGAGTGTCGGTCAAGACCCCACGGGACTGCCAGGAATTTTTGCTGGCAGAAGATAGTAGTGTTCGTCACTTTAAAAAGCAGATCGCTGAACGCCGTCACTGTGACATTGATCGATTGGTACTCATCTTCACTGGAAAAATCCTTAGGGATCAAGATATACTGAGCCAGCGGGGCATCCTGGATGGCACTACAGTCCACTTGGTGGTGAGGACTCGTTTGAAAGGGTTAGCCATCCCTGGAGCTATGCCAGGCACCACAGGCCACAGCACCCATCGTTCTGAACCACTAGCCTCCGAGGGGGCTTCGATGCTCACTAGGCTTGGTCGGCTGGCCCGGAGCTCACCTGATCTCGCTGACTTCTTTAGCCAGCTGACTCAACTCTTGATGACTGCACCAGAGTGTGTGGTGCAGTTCTTGGAAGACCCTTTAATTCAAAGTCTGGAAAATGAGAAACAAGCAAACCACGTTCCTGGCAACCACGTTCCTGGCAACCACATTCCTGGCAACCACGTTCCTGAATCCTCAAGGCCAGTACAGAAACATGACCCAGCTCTCAAGACTCTGGAAACCTTACAGAAGCGAGCCCAGCAGCAGGAGCTCCTGGAGGCAGGGAAACAGAGGCTGGAGGCCTTGAAGGCTGAGCCAGGTGGTGACAATGCCATGCATCCAGTCTGCTCTGATCTCCAGCAGCTCATGCTCTCCACTCTGGCCCTATTAGTTGTCTCTAAAGGCCACATCTCAGGTTCAGAGTCTTGCAAAGGAGAAACCAATGCTCATGGCAATTCTGATACTCCCACCACCATTCCTACTGCTTCTGTGCCTGCTAGGCCATTGGAACAAGAGGTCAGTACAGGAGTGGTTACCCAGGTCAGGGGCATGGCCTCAAATCAGGCCAGTTCAGGGCATAGGACTGGTATTCAAGACATACATTCAGGCCAGGAGCCTCTTTCTCAGGATAGCCAGCAGTTTATAGAGAAAAATTCTCTACCCAATCAGCTGAGACCTTCACCCTCTATTTTACGTGGACTCTTGTATGCCCTACAGCAGAATCCAAGTCTGCTACACCAGATGACAACTGGCAGTCCCATGCATCATCAGATACCAATACTTTCCATTCTCACCAACCCTCGAGCACTTCAGGCACTGATACAGATAGAACAAGGCCTACAAATACTGTCCAGGGAGGTGCCTGCACTAGGTCCATTCTTACGGGACCCAGCTAGGCCACGTGGGGCTAGAGGAGTCGCAGAAAATAGGGGTCATAGAGAAAACTCTGTGCAACCCACCTTGGCCGTTCTTCAGTTCCTTCATGAATTGGTCCATGCCTGTTCGCAGTCTACCCAGTCCTCATTATCCTCATACCTTGCCACCGAAGGTCGCTACCATCAAGAACTTGAGCAGCTGAAGGCCTTGGGTTTTGCTAATCATGACGCCAACCTGCAGGCCCTGATGGCCACAGATGGAGACATCTACGCTGCCATTGAGAGACTGCTAGGAATGCCATAGGCCCAGGACCTTCCAGCTGATGCCCACACTGCACCACCCTAGATAGAGGGAAGAAAAAGAGAGGGAAGGGGAGGGGGAGGGAAGTCACTTATTTTGGGAATTCCTCCTGCTTGTGTTGTGAGTATATTTGGACAGCTCTTGTCTCACTGCCCAAGCCTGTTTTACATTAAAAAGATTGCTTGGATCTTGCGTGTGATGTAAATTGAGGGGTAGGTGGGCAAAGGGAGCATTATCTGGAAAAGTATGGGTCATGTTTTAAGATTTTGGGAACTTCATCTATTCTCCAACCTCAGAGTCTTTTTAAATTTTGAACATGAGGTGGGGAAATTCTGAGTCATCTCTATTCCACTCCAAAATGACTTAGAATTTTAGCCTTTGCTATCCCAAGAAGCCATGAATTTCCTTACGGTCTCTTGAAACTGTTTATTCTTTTATCTTTGTTTTCCTTGTCTCAAGGTACAGTCTGTCAATATTTCAGAATACATGTAACTTACCTCTTTGCTAAAGTTCTTCCTTTGGCATCTGCCTATGCCAGAAATCTGCTCTACTTTTGAAGCACCATTCTATCTTTATATGCAAGCTTCTTCTTTTTTAACCTGCAAAATGCTCAAATTTGCTATCTTATCAGTTATTGAAAATGATCTCCGAGTTTTTTGCCCCTGAATTTCTTGTACAAAGAAGCATCCTTTCCAATGCTGATGTTTCACCATCCATTCCAGTAAGAGACTTAAAGTGAAGAAATGTTTCCATTTTTCCACATTACAAAAATGTTTTAGAATTTGATCTATGAACTTGTTTCCTGAAGATGCTTCCTTTAATGTATTTTTAATCCATTCTCTTACAGAATGGTGTTTATTAACAATACTTTCTTTATTCCTCTTTCAGAGAATTTGGCCACTTTCATAGTCAACTCTGACTCTTCTATAATAATGATTCCTAAATCTCTTAGTTTAATATTGGTACTTTTCCCAGTGTACCAGCTTTCTCTCTGAGTATCTCAGGTGAATTTCTGGCTTAGTATTTCCAAGTCTATTTCAGGATTTCCCAGGCTATCCTTATTCTAAATTCTTTGTTTCTTACACCTCAGTGAAAGTCATCAACAATTCCTCAATCCACCTTTTCTGAAAAATTTTGATCCGTTAGTGATGTGACTCATCATTCTTCAGAGTACCAGTGACTAAAGGTAAACATGTAGAAGGATAAAAGTTAATGGAAATATGGGAGAGAGGAAGCATATTTGGAAAGTTAAGAGGAAACAAAAGACTAAAAATTTCAGGTGTACTTCAGGAGACAGGCAAGTCTGGGTTGAACAACTGAGTCTCATGTCCTTGGGGCTGGGGAGGATGCACATCTTTGAGGTAGGCTCTGTGACTCAATTGTGTTGTGATGCCCCATGAGTCTAAAGGCCTGAAGGTTGTGGAGGTGAGGGACTGTACCCCAAATATCTCTGGGGTCTCACTTCCTAGTACATGGGTTATTCAAATTTGTTGGTCTGAATTTCTGAGATCAGTTACCTATGTTTTCTCTTAGGGAAGAAAGAGTCCCTGGGACAAAGTGAGGATGACAGAAAGAAAGCACTTTGGGATCCTAGAAGTAGGCTTCTTCCTCCTCCACCATCATGTAGGTTCCAGTGGTTAGATCCCTGAGTAGGGTGGAAGACATTATTGGCATTATTCTTAGCAGAATTACTTGGTACTGTGCCCTGCTATACCTTAATGGAGAGCAGTTTACTGATGTATGTAAATCATTCTCTTCCCCATTAAGTTTATTGCATTGTAGCTTCAGGATGATAAAGGAATCCAAACCAGAAGTTTAAGGAGTAGACTTTGATGACAAAGCTGCAAAATCCTCTCAGCTGTGGTGAATGAAAGCTTGGATTTTGGTCTCCAAGAAGAAACCATGGAAAAGATCTGTCCTGTGCCATATCCAAGGGTGCCAGTCCAGAGTAGCGGCTGCAGATCCCTCAAGGTATTAGCAACTGTGTAGGCCCTGCATACCTGATTAGCTCTCTAGCAGGACAAAACTAGGTGAGAAGCTGTGGGGAAAACTACATTTGAAGATAAGAGTCGGTGGTATCTACTAAAATAAATCCTTTCTGCAATACAAGTATTGGGGTAGGATTAAAATACTAGAAAAGGGGAAGGACACTGGGCAGAATATGTTAATTGAATCTACAATGCTCACATTAGTAGTCATCAACCTGTATTATCAGGCACTGTGAAACAAAACAAAACAGTCACTGAGACACATTGTGGCATCATAAACTACAGTAAAAGTAGATATCATGAAGGATATAAAACAGGACTCCAGAGATTTGTAATACTGTAGAAAATAAACTTTGATAGCCATTTGCATAAGTTTCCATAGTCATAAGTTTCCACAATTAGAGGCACAGAGAATTATCTCTACTCAACAGTAGAAGTGCCAGCTATAGCTTCATAACACAAAACTACACGCAATTTCAATCATGGACAAAAGTCTGCACACAGACATTTAATCATAGAAATGTAAAAATAAAAGAAAATCACAAAATATCATGATAAAATGACTTCCCAGATTTTTTTAAAGGAAAAAAAAATTTGACTTTTTTTTCACAATATGATATCCTTAGAAACTTAAATGTTAGCTATTATGGGAATAGAAAAATGAGAAATTCAGAAAGTGGTTCTTAAAATATATTCCATTATGAGACATTTGAAGAAAAGCCCGGGAGCAGGGAAAAACAATCCTAGCAAACTTTTTTAAATAACCAGAACCTGTTCACTGGGGATATTATAGTTACCCTTGTAAAGTGCCTGTTAGATGTAGGGTGTTGTTTTCATTTTCCACCCATGTGTGTGTATAGTTCTTCCAGTCTTAGCATTATCCTTCTATCCTCCTCTGTGTGCTCAGATCAACAGTGTGTGGGATGCAGAAAAAGTGATCAAGATCCGATCATATCAGAATGGCCTGGATTTGAAAGAATTGATGGAAAACCTTAAACTTTTGCCTTTTGGAGTGCGGAACTACTGCATCAGAGGTGGGAGTCTATTGGAGTAATTGTTTCAAATAAGTCACAAGGTAGAGAGAGTGAGGGCCAAATAGAAAGCAAGTATGCCAGAAGGATGCTGTAAAAGGTTGAGATTTCCTATGGTGAATGCCTGGCCCATTATGTCCATTCTATTCAAATCTGATAAGCTACTCAAAAGAACATGAAACAGGTGTCTGCTAAATTCATTTAAAAGTTTGTAGATATAGAAGTGAAGGAGGATAGCCAAGAATCAAAGTATAGTGACTAAAACACTAAGACAAATCTAACAACCTGAAGTCTGCATCTACCTGCCCTATGTAGAAAACAATGCATAATCATACCCCTTTCAACTGGGAACTTTATGTTTAAAAAGTATACTACAGTTACAGTAAAGGAGAGACAATGTAAGAAGAGCTATTCTTTAATAGATAATTAAATCAAATAGAAGCAGCTGTGAAGCATTTTTAGCTATACATATAGAGAAAACGTGCTTCAATAATGGAATTGGGTGCTGCTTAGTTTGTTCCTTGAAGTAGCAGTTACAGTGCTGGTTGACAGAAAGG